TGACAGGCTACTGGGGCCCTTCTCTGCACTGCCCCCACTCCCTCCACCCATTCATCCCCACCCACCTTCCCACACAATAAATCCCAGGGGGTGGCATTGTTTTTCCTGCAGTCCTTAAACTGCAAGGACCTTCGCAAGGATATCTAGTTCATTCCCCTGTTTCACAAGCATCGTAGTAAGAAAAAAATTCCAACTATTTAAAAAATAGCTTAAAGAGAAAGTTTTGTCATTTCTTTCCTTAACTCCTTCATTTCTTCATCCCACCATAGCTTCTTCCAGGAACTTCTTGGGTGGAAATTAAGGTCCCCACCCCTGCCCTCTGGGAGACTAAGCCTTTTCCCCATTAACAGTGAAAACTCACAATTCTGTGTGGCCCTGCCACTCCCACTCCCAAAGTCACCCCAGAGCCTTCAACTGTCTCAGTTAGGTCTTCCTTTTAAATAAGTCATCTTTTTTGTCTTCCAAAAAAATGACATTTACAGTAAAACTCACTCATTGGCCACTGAGTCCGATAGCCATGGGGTGAGAGTATCGCAGGTGGCCCATGCGTGGTACTCGGAGGCACAAGCCTTCTGCCACTCTAAAGCCCTGCCTTGCTCTGCCACTTCTGAGGGGCTGTTTGCTTCTGTGTCTCAAGTAAACACTGCACAGGGAACAGGAGTGGGGAAGCTACCAGAAGCTTGGGACAGCACTGCCGTGCTCCTGGTGCAAGAAGTTCCTGGGCTGGATAACTACTCTGAGCCCCTAGTCCCCGGGACCATTCAAGCAAGAATGGGAGACACTCTGGATGCTGGAGAATGCAACCAAATCGTACGGAACGTTCTTCTCAACTCTTTGTGGGTGCTAAGGCTCCCCAGAAGGAAGCAGCTCTGTTTGGATCCAGACAGCAGCATCCACCTGGGTTTGGAGTCTGATCATTCCCATGGGGCCTCTGCTGAGAAGATAATATTGCTGTGCACTGCGCCAGTGTGTCCTCCCTGCGGGGCTCCTGCTGCTGCCATGGTAGCTTCCTCAGACAAGCCCTGGGGGCTGTTCCCAGAGCCCCAGAGCCCCCTACCTCCACCCGTCTCCATCCAACAGAGCTAGAGACCAAGACTTGACCTGAGATCCCAGGATCGCAGCAAAGAGGAGGTGCGGAGCTACCAAAGACTCCGACCTCCACCTGTCTCTATTCAATGGGGCTAGAGACCAAGGCTCCACCTGAGATCCTGGTGGTGCGGAACTAGACTGGGCAGGGACCACACTTGGGATTCTGGGCATGGCCAGAGACCTGGAGCATCTTAGGCAAGGAGAAAGGAATGGAGGGGCAATTTCTGTGCCACTGTAGCTGGGTGGTGCCCCCAGCTGAACCTCTTCCATTGCCAAGTAATGAACCCTAGGATTTCTAGGACAAGCTTTAAATCCTGGCTGTGCCACTCCCCAGTTGAGGGGCCTTTGCCAAAGGAGATGAGAAGTAAGTTACAGTATGACTGAAAGCACCAGGCACCAGGCACCGTAGGTCTGAGACCAAGCACGCGCCATCTGTGCACATCCGTCCTGCACTTGCAGCCACACGACCCAGGTGTGAAGCACAGCTGTTGACCCCTGGGAGGCCACTTTCCTTCTCTGGACCTCGGTTCCTCTTCAGGGAACTAGAATACTCTCTCTCCTGCTGGCCCCACCAGGCGATGGTGATACTGGCATGAGATAATGTGGTGAAGGAATACTCTCTAATAGTCAGCGAGTGTGGCAAATAGGTAATTTTCATCATTTCCCCAGACCCCAGGGGTGCCAAGATTTTGCTCCCTTTTACTTGCCCCAGCCAAGACGTGGCCATTCCTGGCCCTGCCCACGGGCCTTACCTCCAAAAGTTTCCATTCTGTTTCTTTGCTGATACAATTTGGGTGCCTCTCTGCACCTCCCAGCCAAAGACCCAAAGAAGTGGGAGAAGGGTAGGAAAGAGAAGGAGCTAAGCCAATGCATAAATCGCATTTAGTTATCCAGAGTGGAGGAACCTGCCTAGGTGCTATCCAAGCCACCAGGTAGAGAACCAGCCAGAGTTGGAGCAAGCAGATGAAGTATCCAGGGGGTGTCTTCTCCATCTACCTGTGGCTGCTAAATGGTGTGTGTTGGTTGAATCCCAAAGGGCACACCTTCTATTTGTTTTACAGACTTTGCTTACATTTTTCTAACCTTGCTGGATTCTTTTATGGGGTGAAGAGAGTCTGGGATAACTTTTTTATGCTTAAAGTTCTCAAATGCCCCTGCTGCAAAAGGAGCATCATGGCACGGGTGATTCTGGACAAAAGAGTATTGCAATGTCCTTGCCCCTGGTCTTAGGGTGAATGACCTGGAGATGGGGCCTCCTCTCTTAAATTTACATTCCGAGTTTGCTGCCACGTCAAGTAACGTCGCTTCTGGCCTACATCCTGAGAATGGTTGACTGAGACGGATGCTGGAACAAGGAGAACTTGACCTTGGAGCAACCTTGATGCTGAAAACCCAGGCACTGAGAAGCTCCTGGATGTTGGCAGTTGGCAGCCACATTTCATAAATAAGGAGACCAGGCCTACAGAAGGGCCAGAGCCCGATCTTGAAACTGATCATCTTTTCTCTGGCACCAAGCTGCTTCTGGACTTCAGTGTGTGGGTGATTTCTGTCTGTCCCTCTTGCCTTCAGTGACTACTCATTGAATGCCGTTGATTCAAGGAGAGCCTGCTGCCACGTGGGTGTTCCCTGACAGTGGCTGCAGCATCACTGTGCTCTTGTCCTGTTGCTGCATAGCAGCCTGGAGACCTTAGGCAGGTCACTGTGGCCCTCAGTTCCTTATTTGTATCTTAGAAAGTTGGAATATGTGATTTTTAAGGGCCCTTGAGACTGTCCAAGGAAGGTGGAGAGTTCTGCTCAACAAATAAACCTTCCCAGCCAAAGCGTTCTTGTAAGTCCTGGGAAGGGAAAGCCAAAGCAAGAGCTGCCCTCGCCCTTCCACAAGGCCACAGCCAGGGAGGTGAACCGAGAGCGGAGGCAAGGCCTGATCCTGCCCCACTCACCCCCAGAGGGGCGGGAACGAGAGCCCCGTTGTGCAGGTGCGTGGGGGGAGAGAGGGCTTGATGCTGATTGTCCTGCTGCTGCTTATTTATAGGGGCTACTCCTCCAGCTCTCAGGCCAGGGACAGTCCTGCAAGACCAAAAGTCCTTCTCTGGAGGAGAAGCCAAAAGGGGGTTTTATCAGCTGAATCAAGAGAGATGTGCAGATCAGTGCAGACTCCACTTTCCTGAGACGCTCTGCCCGGTCCCCTGGGGCCAGGGGCTGGGAGGAGACCCGGATGGCTGTCCCCTGCAGCTGGGATATTTTTCCTTTGTCTGTTGCTGTAGACACTGGCTCAATGTTTTCTCCAAACACAAGTGTCCCCTCACTCCAAACTCTAGACTTGCCCTGGAGCCTGCAGACCCAAGCTTCTTAAGTCCTGAAACAAAAGCTGAGAGCTGGGGGCCTTCTTCTTCTCCCTGTGTCACCCGTGTCCGTGACTGTTAACCTGTCTCCAAGTCCTTGCTCTTCATGCTTATGATCCTAGCATCTGAGCGTGGGAATGTCGGCCTAAAAGGCCCTTGGATTTGTGAACTGCTTCGAGCCACTTTCAGATGGGGAACCCTGGTTGGGGAGAGCCAAGAGGCCCAGGCAGGTCTCCCAGGACCCCAGAGGCTGCTTCCTCTACACCTCTTTGGTTGCCCGTCTTGCTTGCTTTAAATCTGGGGACACTGACCTCTCATCTCCCAGCAAAGGTTGCCTGGAGAGAGGGAGCGCTCGTTCCTCCTTGGAGGCCGGCAGCCAAGCTTCCTTCCCTGGTGCTGGAAGTCCGTGACTTCTTACCAGCTATGAAATGGTAGTGATGGAGGGAGCAAGGGGCCAGAAAACGTGTCTTCTTCACTGCACTGCCTACTGGAGAGACGAACTGCAAGGGTCATTTCCTGGTTGAGAAGGTGGGGCCAAGGAGTCTGTATCCAGGGGAATTCTGTGCTGGGAGCCTCTGGAGGTAATCAAGGTTGAGACTCATACGCTCTGGGGGTGAGAGGAATCGCGCATTGTGGACCAGCAGGTTAAGCAGCCTCTTGCAAAGCCCGTGTCCCAAATCAGAATGCCAGTTCGAGTCCCAGCTCCTCTGCTTCCAACCCAGATTTCTGTTAGTGCATCCTGGGAGGCAGCAGGTGATGACTCAAGCACTTGAGCCAGTGCTGCCCACATGGGACACCCAGCTGGAGTTCCTGGCTCCTGACTTTGACCTGGCCCAACTTCGGCTGTTGTGGACATTTGAGGTGGCTGGAAGGTTCTTATTCTCTCTCTCTCTCTCTCTCTCTCTCTCTCTCTGCCTTTCAAGTAGATGAAAATAACCATTTATAAAAATACGGTCTGAGAAGACAGGCCGTGCAGAGGCTAGCCCAGCTGTATTTATTTATTTATTTAGCAAATATTTTGACCTGAATGTAGTAAGCACTGTGATAGAGGTACATGAAGAAGACAGGCACAGGGCTGGGTGCAGGGAAACATCTGGAGACCGGAGTCTGAGGGATGAGTGGGTCCTGGCCACCTGGAACAAGGTTCTCAACCCTGGCTGCATATTAGAAGCACCTGAGGGAGCTTTGAACCCTCCAAAGCCCAGGACACAGCCCTGACCAATTGAATTAGAATGCCTGGGGTTGAAAGCCAGGCACCGCCACTGGCGATTCCAAAGTGTAGCCAAGGTAGGCACCACCTGCTATGGTTAATATGTCTCGGGTTTGCAGGAGAATGAGCTACTTGAATGGATGCCAAGTGTTGGTTTTTGGATTTGGGGAATGCATTGAGCTTTCTCATTCACTGTTTCTAGGAAGCCATGAGAACTGCGTTCTGGATTTGGATCTGGGAAGGAGCAGAGAGGAGGGAGGAGGGAAGGCAGGAAGGGGACAGGGGAGAGGAGGACTTTGGGGCTGAAGCCGTGAAGCTCTCAGGGACATTGTCACAAATCACACCTCCCTTACTACCAGGACCTCCTGCAGAATTCCCCCAATTCCATGTCTGGAGTCTCCAATAACCCCCAAGGGATTGTGGTCCCAGCCTCAGCGCTCCAGCAGGGCAACATCGCCATGACAACCGTCAACTCACAAGTCGTGTCAGGTCGGTGCAGAGAACGGATGCTGGGGACTGTGGGGAGCACCCTGGTGGAAAAAGGGTGACCCTGGGGGGATGCCAGGGATGGGAGGGGGTGTTTCTGTCAGGGGAGGGGGCTCCCCCACTCAGGTTCTTGACTAAAACATTCTGTAAGTGTGTGTGGTTCACACCAAGACCCGATTGTGATGGTTTAGAACAAAGTCGGGTTGAATTCTCATGAGTCCCCAAGGACCAAGCAAAGCTATGGTCCCTTCCCAGAAACACGTCCCACCAGACTCTGCTCCCCCTCCCTGCCCACCCCTACAAGCGGAAGGAACACACCTGGATGCCCCCGGGCTCCTGAGAGAGGGTCTCCACGTGCAAGTGCCAAGGAAATCGGGGACCCTGCTTGCCCTCACTCCTCCCGCCCATGGCAGGGGACCCAAAAGCTGGTTGTCTCCTCAGGTGGAGCCTTATACCAACCGGTTACCATGGTAACCTCCCAGGGTCAGGTGGTCACCCAAGCAATCCCCCAGGGAGCCATCCAGCTCCAGAACACGCAGGTGAGTGTGTGTGGTCTGCACACGTGTGCATGGGTACAGGGAGGGTAACTGCAGAAGCTTCTTACCTGCCAGGCGCGCTACCCAAGTAACTCATCCAATCCTCATGAGCCCTCTAAGAGGTATTGTTACTCCTGCCAGACAGATAGGGAGTGGGGTCTTGGGAAGGTTTTGCCAGCTCCAGGAATGTGTTGCCTCCTGGGGTTCCCCTCAGAGGCTCCTGCACTTCCTAGGCCTGGACCCCACCCCAGCACCCTTCCTCAGTGGTGCAGAGCGCACACACAAAGGAAGAGGGGAGAGGCCCAAAGTCGGAGGCCTGGCATCTGACATTAACCCTGTGGTCTTGGATAAGTCAGCTAACCTCTCCAGACCCCAGAGTTCTTATCCATACAAGGGAGATGAACACTCACTACACCCAGCCCCACCAACCCACGGGGCTGCTGTGAAAGTTACCTATGGCAATGGCTAGGAGATTGCTTTGTAAACCATGGAGTACCACAGAAATGCTAATACCTATTAGCTGGTACAGGGCACGTTTCTATCTTCTGCACTGTTTGCATGTCTCTGTTTCCTCTACCTCCTCTCTTGTCTCCTCTTCTCCCTCCCCTCCTCTTCCTCCTCCTCCTCCCCTTCTTTCACCCCAAGGCTCATCTCCATTCTCTAAGGGGCTGGTATGAGATGAGAGGGAAAGGTGACCTCCCCAGGGCCCTACGATTGGGTTGGGAAGGAGGTGGGTGGCTAGCATCTGCCATCACCATGGCAACGGGTCCCTAGCTGCTGCCTCAGGCTGCTGATGCTGATTCTTTCTCCACGTGCCCTGAAGGTTAACCTTGACCTCACCTCCCTCCTGGACAATGAGGATAAGAAGTCCAAGAACAAACGAGGAGTCTTGCCCAAGCACGCCACCAATATAATGCGTTCTTGGCTCTTCCAGCATCTCATGGTGAGTGTGTGTATCCTGGGGTGTGGAGCCACAGCATGGGGTGCTGGGCTCTGCTGTGTCTCCAGGGCAAGAGCTTTCTGATAGGGACAATACCAGAGGCCAGGGTTTCTCTAGTGTTTGCTGCTGCCTCCGAAAAGTGTGAAAATGGAAGAAGTAATGGGGACAAAATCGTTTACACTGGGTGATAATACGATGTGGTACATGCCACACTTTCCCTATGGAAGGAATGGGTTAATTCTCTGCCAGGACTCTGGAATCTTAACCCACTGAGGAAGCACGAAGTGTGTGCCCATTTCCTGCTGGCTCGGGGCTCCAGGGTAGGGGAGCGGTGACTTTCTCATGTCACTGGCTCAGCTCTGTGGTGTAGAGTTGACCACTTTCAGTTGATACTTTGTAAAATGTCACAATACCTTGGATTTAACCAGAGTGTTCATACGGCACCTACTGTATGTGCATAACATCATGGTAGTTATCCATTTGTGTGCAGTGTTAGTTGCAAAAGGCAAGCTTTGGGTTGAATATTAGGAATGACTTCAGAATGGTAATGCCCTAGCAACAGTTTCAAGGTCTTTGGCAATAAATAGAGAGGCTTTGTCTGAGCTGAGTGTGTGTGTGTGTGTGTGTGTGTGTGTGTCCTGGGAGGGGAGGTAGATTCAGTGACCACAAGAAAAGGCTTCCAGAAGCCAGCACGCTCTTGACCTGACAGGTAGGTAGCTCATGCGTACACAGCTACAGGACAAATACAAAGGGACAGTAGACACACTGGCCCAAGAACAAGAACCAAGGGCAAGGGAAAATCTTTCTTTAGAGAGAAATAAAATGAAGCATGCAAATTAATTAATCAGCCCAACAGTCCTTTATGTGACATGGGAGAGTGACCGGAAGCCGTGGAGACTAGGCCTCTGGAGATGCACTGTAGTCCTAGGGACTCTGCCTCGGAGGCCTTGGCCTGAGTGTCCAGTAGGCAGGGTGGGGAGGACTGCTCTGAGGCTAGAGCCGTGCTCTCCCCACCAGCTTCTACCTGATTCTGGGAGCGTGGGCTGCCCCAGTGCTTTGCTGTAGATCACTTTGAAAGCACTGTCTGGTTGGGAGACCTAGAGTTTCCAAATCAGGAAGAAAAATTGGATAGAAAGAGCTGGAAGGTCGAGAGCTAGGTGAGTGCAGGGGGTAGAGCCTGGGTAATGAAGCCGGGGAACAGGGACAAGTCCAGGCCAGAATTTCTGGGGGGATGCCCAGGTCTCCTGCTTGTCCTGGTTTTCCAAATCGTCCAACAGCCAATGAGGATCAAATGGATTCTGTGGTCTCCTGAGCCCGGCATCCACACCACAGCTGCCAGGCCCTCCTCGGGGAGGAATCAGTCTTGTGGGCTGAGCTGTCAAAGCCAAGATCAGGGCGGCAGGGGTGTGCCGGGATAGACACCACTGTGGGAGCAAAGGTGTGGTAGTGAGCTGGTGGGCTTCTGAGGCAGCCAGGCCTGGTTTCACATGCAGGCTTCACCTCTGACCCTGTCAGCTGACCCCACCGAAGAAATAGTTGCAAAGACCTGGCGCACAGAGGTGCTGCATAAATACTGTTCTCTTTCCTCCCTGCTGAGGTCTGAATTAGCTTACCCCGACATCACCCATGGTGAGGCTTAATTCACTATATAATGGTTTTGAAAGGTGGGGGGGCCTCTAAGAGGTGGGGCCCAATGGGAGGGGGCTGAGTCATGACAGTCCTTAGGAAGGGATTAGCATTGGTCTCTTGGAGTCAGCCAGGTGGTTGGGTCTCCCAGGAGTGGGTTAGTTCCCAGAGGAGCAGGTCATCAGAAGAGAGTGAGCTTGACCCGTCCCTGCTGTCTCGCTTGCCTTCCTCACGCCCTCCCACCATCAGTAGTACATCAGTATACCATCTGCCACGATACCCTCTCAAGAACCCACACAGAAGCTGACCCCATGCTCTTGAACCTCTAGAACTGTGAGCTAAATGGACCCCTTTTCTTAAGAGTCCCCAGCGTCGAGTGTTCTATGATGGCAGCATGGAATGCCTAAGACACTCCCACGCCTCACACCCCCATGCATTCTGAAGGCTGATGTGAACACACCTCCAGCCCCACTACTGGAGAGGACACAAGGCAAGTATAGGAGAGAAAGGAGGGTGCAGGCCAGCACCCCCTCACTGACTCCTGTCACTCCACCTCATGGTGCCCATCTCAGCCGCCTCCCACTGCCCACCTGCAGCTCACCCAAGAGCTAAGTCTTCAGCCCGAACTGGAGACTGACCCAGTGCAGTCCCTCCTGGCTGTGCCTCATCTCTCAATGGACTTCAGTTCATGTCCTGCCCTTTTGGCCCCTTCCTTGAGACCTTCCTCTGTAGTTCAGGTCTTTTTTCTCCACACCATGGCCCACTGGGACACAAGAAGGCAGAGGGATAGAGGGGTGAAGAAGAGACAGGAAGTAGGGATGAGGTTGGTTCTGCAGGACAGGCCTGGGACTGTGCAGGGGATTGGTTGAACTGCAGGAGTGGGAGCTTTCAGCCTGCCCTTGTCCACGCACCCCTGCTCTCCTCTAGCTCGGGACACCCTCAGCTGCTAGGGACATGGCACCTCCCGCGGGCAGAGTCCCCAGGGCATGCCTTCATCACAGCCGTCTCAAAAGATGAGAAAGAAGTGGCCACTCCGCCTCCAAAGTTAGAGTTCAGAGCTTCTGGCTTGAAAGGGAGGAAGAGAAGGAGGAGAAATTCAGTCCACTCTGGGGGAAAAAGCAGACCATGGCAATCCTCTGCATACCAGGGCTGGGCCACTCAGCCTGGGACTAACCCCCAAGCAGCCCGGTTCCCCAGGCACACATGGAGGCCTCCCCATCCCGGCTTCAGGAAAGAGGCTTTGGTGACTGGGTGCTGTGGAAAGATGCAGATTTTGCAGGCAGACGGATCAGGGTATGGATCGAGGCTCCCTGCGTCATCACTGTGATGCTGTTTCTTTGAAGAAGAAGATAATACTTACTTCCCGTGGTTGTGAAAATTAGAGAACATATATAAAGAACCGAACCTGGGGCAGAGTTAGCACTTCGATAAATTCTCATTGAATTTTCTAGAACAGTAGACCAAGAACCAGTTTTTGAGGCTGAAACCCAAAGTTTGAGGCAGATGGCTGGTCTGTTTTTGACCTGTAATGCCTGCTGCTCTGTCTGTGGTTTGACCTGACAGCTTACTAGCTAATGCTACTGCTTACCCATTCTGTTGGTCCATATGAATGTGAAATCCCTGGGTCTCATAGCTCTGATGCTATTGTAATGTCTCAAGAACAAGGACCATACATTATACTTCTGCTGTGGCTCTTACAGCACTGAATGCCAAAACATGTACCTTTATACTGTTTACTAGGGCTTGCTGTAGAAAGGGGTTCCAACAGTAAACCAAGTCTCTGCATATCTGGGCTATAAGAGTTTAGCCTATTTCTTTCTTCCGAGTGTGCTAGATGGTACTGTGAATTCACAAAAGGGTAAGGTTTGAAGTTTCTCTGGAACTTATTTGATGGTTCTAAGTCACTCTCCTTGCTGTCACTGTTGCTCTGAGGAACATCCCTGAGATGCAGTCCTTGAGAAATAACCCTGCGGCAGCACCGTACGTGGAGACAGTAGCTGTTCAATGTTAGGGAAGAAGGGTAGAGAAGGCCTGAAAGATGGACCTCTGTATACCCTTGGTGTCCCCCTATCCAGTGCAAGTGGGACAACAATTCCTTTATTGGTTAATTGGAAAATTGATTTAAAAAATAAAGAGAGAACAATGAAGGCGGATATTATGGTGCAGTGGGTTAAGCCACCACTTGGGGTGCCTGGGATCAAGTCCTGCCTCTGCCCCTGATTCAGCTTCCTGCTACCATGCACCCTAATGATGTCCCAAGTACTTGGGTCCCTGTAGCCCACACAGGAGATCCAGATGGAGATCCTGGCTTCTGGCTTTAGCCTGGGCCAGCCCTGGCTGTTATGGACATTTTCTGAGTGAATCTGTGGATGGAAAGTCTCTCTATCACTCTCTCTCTCTCTTTCATTTTTCCATGTGTCACTCTGCCTTTCAAATAAATTAAAATAAATAAACTTTAAGAAAAGGAAGAGCCATTCAAAAGATACATTTTATATTAGTTCAAAAGATTTATAGAAATGAAGAATTTTCTAAAACTTCCTGGCAAGTGTATATTATCAAAAAACGACATGAATTTGAAAAACTTTTGCACCAAAGTAAACTTATATATATTTTTTTTAATTTTTATTTATTTTTTTTTGACAGGCAGAGTGGACAGAGAGAGAGAGAGAGAGAGAGAGAAAGGTCTTCCTTTGCCGTTGGTTCACCAAACTCCAGTGGCTGCTGCGGCCAGCGCACCGCGCTGATCCGATGGCAGGAGCCAGGCACTTCTCCTGATCTCCCATGGGGTGCAGGGCCCAAGCACTTGGGCCATCCTCCACTGCACTCCCTGGCCACAGCAGAGAGCTGGCCTGGAAGAGGGGCAACTGGGACAGAATCCGGCACCCCGACCGGGACTAGAACCGGGTGTGCCAGCGCCGCAAGGCGGAGGATTAGCCTAGTGAGCTGCGGCGCCGGCCCAACTTATATTTCTTAAAGATTTATTTACTTATTTGAAAGACAGGTGCCTGGCGCTGTGGTGTAGTAGGCTAAGCCTCCGCCTGGGGCCCCCACATTCCATATGGGTGCCAGTTCATCTCCCAGCTACTCCTCTTCTGATCCAGCTCTCTGCTATGGCCTGGGAAAGCCATGGAAGGTGGCCCAGATGCTTTTGTCCCTGCACCCACGTGGGAGACCCAGAGGAAGCTCCTGGCTCCTGACTTTGGATCAGTCCATCTCCGGACATTGCAGCCATTTGGAGAGTGAACCAGTAAATGGAAGACCTTTCTCACTATTTCTCCCTCTCTATCTGTAACTCTGCCTCTCAAATAAATAAATAAAATCTAAGAAAAAAAAAAAGAATGAACGAAAAAGAAAATTATCTCTTAAAAAAAAGTATT